TATTGTATAACTGTAATAATTCAACTGTAAACCTAAAAATTTACAGCCAATTTTGAAAGAGATGCATCTTAGCTCAGGAAATTGCTATTGAATGTCAATGCTGTTGTGTGGTTATTAAATAAACAATTAAAAAAAACAGAGTTGGTGTGATTGAATTAATGATATTACAATTGCCTATGGAGCCACTTTATGGAAACATTTATTAATTTTATTGACAGAGTGCTTTCTATGAGCCAGGTACAGTGTCCTCCAGGGAAACCCAGTCAGGCCCACCAAGTCTACCTGGATATGGATTTCCTTTGGGACGCTCTACCCTGGACTTCAATCTCTCCATTCCTTTTATTCTTTTCCAGAACTTCAAAAGGAAGCACAGTTGAAAACAACTGCAATTCATCACTATTATCCAAACCTGGAGTCAAATACAATTACTGCATCACAAACAAGAACCAACTCTGGCAGGGCCAGGAGGGACGTTCACAATTCCTCATAAATATTTTCTTATTTACAGATTGTAAGTGAATATGGAAAATCACAGGTCTTCAGGAAAAACCAACCCCAGACACAGACATAAAAGCCCAGGGGGCAGGGCTAGGAGCCGCATCACTGCCGAGCACGGCTCAGTTTACCCATTTCCCTTCACAGTGGGGACAAGGACAGTCTCAGCCCTCCTTTGGAGTACACGTGCTGTTATGCTCCAAGTACTCAGGGTCTTTAAACTGCTAGGAATCTTTTTGTTGTCATTCCTTGAAATGGGGTCTCACATAGCCCAGGCTGGCCTTAAATTCCCTAAGTAGTCAAGGGTGACCTTGAACTTCAGATTCTTTTGCCACCACCTGCTGAGTGCTGGGATTACAGGCTTGCGCCTGAGCCATATCCCCAGCCTGGTCAATCTTTGGAACCAGGTTGAAAATCTTCAGCAGCTGGGCAACTCAGTCTTTCAAAATGACACCCTATCAACTGGCCAGCCACCCCTTATGGGTGCAAAGCCTGTTACTGGTCTAAACTGTTGATGGTGATGGGAGCCAGCAGGACCTGAGGGGAACTCCTCAGCTGCTGGAGGGTCACACCTGTGTTTCCTTCCTCCCTTCAATGTTTGGTATTTCTGCAACATTTCCTGTGCCTGTGCCCACAATGCAACCACTGATGGGAATTACCCCTCACAGCCTCCAGCTAGGAAAAGGCCTTGGTTTCCTTTGCATTCATCACCAATGGTAGACCTTTGCCTGCCAGCTCTGATGGCAGCTTTGAGGTAAATCTTGTGCCTTATTTGGGCCAAGAAAGCTGCTTATGAACTCTGGGTTATGACCAGACCAGGCACTTCTGGACAAAAAAGCCCAGAAAATTATCCTGTCCTGTGAGGAAGGATAGGAGTCAGGGATAGTTCCCATTATTTTTTTTTCTGAGACAGGGTTTCAGGTAGCCCAAGCTGGCCTCAAACTCCTTATGTAACTGAGGATGACCTTGAACTCCTGATCCTCCTGCCACCACCTCCCAAGCAGAGATTACAAGCATGTACCACCATGCCTGGCTCAATTCCAGTGAATCTCATCACAACTCACCAGAGCTCTTGAATTTGTGCCTGATGAGCACATATGCTGTCGTAATGGGAGGCTCCGCAAAGCATCCTGTCAGCTGCTTATAATTCCAGTTACCCCAGAGGCTGAGGAAGGAGAATCACAAGTTTGAGATCAGCTTGAGCAATATAGGTGAGTTCAAGGCCAGCCTCAATGAGTGAATACCTATTTGGCTAGGATGTAGCTTATTGATAGAGTGCTTGTTTACCATATGAAAGACCTCAAATTTAATCCCTAGTAACCCAACCCCAAGAAGGAAGTGCTGTGACCTGGCTTCCAATGAGAAAGCACTTTGAACTCTGCAGAGTCAGCATATGAAAAGCAGGTTGAGCATACACCAAGTCTTTACTCTCACCTTGTTAGGAAGTATGTCTCCCCCAAACACTGACAGGCAGAGGCAAAAGCAACTCCCTCCCACACCCTCCCCCACGCAGGTAGTCCCCTCCCTACAAAGGGCTCAGGCAGGCCCTACCTCCAGGGAGCTTCTGGGCAAGAATCCCATGGGCACTTTGCACCTTCCCCTGGGAGGCCTAGTGGATGACACCAAGTACTCTTGATCCAGGAGGTCCCCCTTAGGAGAGGCAGCTTCAATTCAAGGGGCCCCAGAGGCATGTCCTTGGTGGTCCATTAGGGGGCCCCCTGGGTGCTACCCAGCATTCTCCATCTTCACAGAGAAACAATTGTGCAGAGACGCCCCTACACCTTCCTCATCATGCCTGCCTCTAGCATATGCCTTGTGGTCCTGACTGGCCCTGGTGTCCTTGAGTCTGGGTAGGATAGAAGGGTCACTGGAGAACTTTCCCCTAGCTGTAAGGAGGCCAGCTGGGGGCTCATAGTTTGGAGAGCCCTTCTCGCAAGCCACACAAGCAGTGGAGGCTAGGTTGGCATGGCTGCCCTGGTGGCGCACCAGCCAGGAGTGACAGGTGAAGCTCTTGCCACACTGGCTACAAGCGAAGCGCTTCTCTTGTGAGTGGCTGCGCAGGTGCCGCAGGAAGCTGGGCTTGTGTGTGAAGCAGGAGCCGCACTGGGTGCACTGGAAGGCATGCTCACCCGAGTGCACACTCTGGTGCACAGTCAGGTTGGCCAGGCGTGTGAAGCGCTTGTCACACTTGGTGCATGGGAAAGGTTTCTCCCCTGTGTGCGTGCGCCGGTGTTCCACCAGTGTGGACAGGCGGCCAAAGCGGCGGCCACACTGTGCACATGGGAAGGGCCGCTCTCCAGTGTGCGTGCGCCGGTGCTCTAGCAGTGTGGACAGACGGCCAAATCGCTTCTCACACTCGGCACACTCATAAGGCTTCTCTCCAGTGTGTGTGCGGTAGTGTGTGGTGAGTGTAGACTGATGGACAAAGCTCTTGCCGCACTGGACACAGGTGTAGGTGCGCTGCGCTGTGTGTTCACGGCGGTGCCTGGGGGGAGTGACCTGCTGTGTGGCACTCTGAGGACACTGGACGCTGGCAAAGGGCTGGGGACCCTGACGTGGCTGCTCATGCTGTGCACTGAACTCGACACTGAAGTTCTGGCAACTCTCAGTGCCTTCAGCAGCTGGCACAAGCTGATTCTGAGGGTCTCGGGGGAGGGAGGCCAATTCTCTCTCCCTGGAGACAGGGAGCAAGTCCCCACAGGTGCTCCCCTCAAAGTCCTCCTTGGCAGGTCTCCCTTCAGTTGCCCAGGCTGGAGCTAGCCCCATGGACTCTCCCTCCAGGGTCCTCTTCTCCTTGCTGACCAGCCAGGTCTCTGCTGGAAGGAAGACACAGCAAGTGAGTCATCTCTGCCACAGGCTCCGGAGCCAGGTCTAGACCCTCTGCTCTCTGCTACCTATGGGCCTGAGGCTCACATGAGCCTGTCACTGAAGGCCCTCACTCTAGCCCCAGCCTACCTGATCTTCCACTTGCCTTCTGCCAGGGACCCACTCTGTGCTATCTATACAATGTCATCTAAATGCCTGTCAATGGAGCTGTGTGACTCTGCTTAAGGGGCCTCCCAACCTTTGATCTCCTCTCTGCCTGCCACCTCTGCTTAGAGACCCTTCAAGTCTCTTCCCGGGAACCTCCCAAGACCAGCCCGGTGATGCTGTTCCCTGACAGCACCTCATCTGTGCCACCAATACCATGAATGAGGCAGCATGCTGACCACAGCTTGACTACAGAAGGCCTTCACCTGTATCCACACTATAAGCACATGTGTTTTCTTAGGAGACTGTCCACATTTTCCATCATTCTCATAGGGTTCTCTGGCTCCAGAAATAGTTTCCTCTTCTTATATTATCTATCTGTGATAGTCTTTCTCCTAAGTGAAAAATCCTTGTGGGGATGGGGAATTGTACCTTGTGCATCAATAAGTCACCTAGCACCATGCTGGCTACAGTTTATAAAGTGAAGCCAGGAGACCCAGGAATGAAAAGACAGTCATTTCATACAACTGGGTGGGAAGGTGCCCCTAGCAAACATAACATGGAGGCAGGACAACACAGGATACCTGCTTGCTGCATTCTCCTTCAGGACACTCACACAGAAGTCCCTGCTGGAGGTGCCCAAAGATCAGTCTGTCCCTGGCCTTACCTGAGCACAGATGTGTAGTGGTCATCTCCTGAAGGTTCCTCTCACATGCCTCATCCTCCTGCTTGATCCAGGGAAGAACACTTTGGGGAGACTCTAGCTGGCCTGCTTCTAAGATAGAGAAGAAATCCTAAGGGCACCAGATGGCATGGGTCTCTTTCCGTCATAGTCTCAATCCGGGACCAGTATCACAAGGCACTTTCAACAGAACCAGAGCACAGCAAAGGCAGAGCAGAAACTGGGCTTTCTGGGAATGCCAACATGTGGTGTGGCAGGGAGTCAGGAGGAGTGGTGGTGCATGGCTTGTGAATAACCAGTTCTGGCCTAGGACCAGGGACTATCACCCCTCCTTTTGTAGTAAAGAGCACCTGGATTTGGCTGGACCCACAGACCCCTCCTCCCCCCAGAATAAAGCCCATATTTCTGGGCCACCCCTACAAGCAGATGACCAATAGGATGTGAAGGGCTCTGCCTTTCACAGCTACATGACCTGACAATTCGCCTAGCCTCTCAGTGCCTCAGTTTCTTCATCTATATACACAAGGAAACAAAAACCTACAAGAGATTTAAATGGATCAATAAAGTGCATAGTAAGTGCTAAATGTGTTTGTTAAATTGGAAACACACGTGCTGTCCTTAAAAGGGCAATCCTTTTCCCTCTTCCTTGCTTCTTAATGGCCACGCTGAACTGCAGTGAAAGGCTGCTCACTAGGAAAGGCAGAGCAGCAAGATGAAAGGCACCTGGGCCTTTGATACCTTGAGCTGCCACACAAGACCTGTCAGCTTTTTTTTTTTTGTCTTTTTGAAGCAGGGTTTCCCTGTAGCCCCAGCTGTCCTAGAACTCACTATGTAGACCAGGCTGGCCTTGAACTCACAGAGACCCGCCTGCCTCTGCCTCCCAAGTACTGGGACTATAGGCGTGCACCACCACGCCCGGCAAAAACCATCTTTTTTAAGCTGTTTCATTAATTGGGTTTAGGTTGCAAATGTTCCATTAATTGGGTTTAAGTTGCAAACGTTCCCTTAATTGGGTTTAGGTTTTATCTGCCTGTTTCAGTAGCCTACATAGGCACAGTACCCTTGGGTAGGTGTCCTACAAGGTGACCTCACTAATCCATACCAATCTCTAAGTCCCCTTACAAATGGAATTATTTCTCATCCTCTTCCTGCCCTGGGTTTGACAGAGAGTAGGCATACTTCCTGTTAAATGAACGAGTGCAGGACCAGGCAGACGAAAGGACCCTGGAACTCACATGGTAGAAAGTGGGAAACTGACTCCTGCACATGCACACCACAGCACGTGGTATATGTACATAGATGTACACAGAAACAAAAACATACATATATGCCACACAATAAATGTAAAGTTTTAAAAAAATACAAAACTATCTCGTCACAAATATCTAGCTACCAATCACATGGCTCAACACAGTACAAGGTTTTGACCCACAAATACAGGATCAGACATCTTCCCTTTGTGTTGACCTGAGGCACCTCTGATCTAGTCTTGATGAGAAGATGCTGGCCCAGTCACATGTGCCTGTCTGCCCCACATAGGCTGCCTCCATGATTAACCAAACAGCTGGGAAACCAAGCATTTAGCACTTCAAGCTTCAGAGAAAAAAGTCAACAGAAATATACCATTGGGAAAAGACCCTTTAGGAGCCAGTGTGATGGCTTCACAGATAAAAGTGCTTGCTGCCAAGCCTGACAACCTGGAACTCTTATCTCCAGAACCCACATGGTAGGAGAAAAATGACTCCTCCTAGTTGTACTCTGACCTTCACATATGGGCTATGAGGTCTCTGAGTCCACCAAGGACTAGAGCAGCTATACTGGGCAGGTGGCCAATCAGGACTGGCAATGCACACGTGTAATCCCGGCACCTATAGGGTAGTTAACAATGTTTCGTAACTCCAGTTCCAGGGGATCTACTGCCCTTTTTCTGACCTCTGTGGGCACTGCAGGACATAGGTCACAGGTGCACTTACATACACACAGGCTAACACTCATACACATAAATTTTTTTAAAAAAAGATTAAGGCTGGGTGTGGTGGCACATGCCTTTAATGCCAACACTCGGGAGGCAGAAACAGGAAGATCTCTGTGAGTTCGAGGCCTGGTCTACACAGTGAGTTCTAGGCCAGCTGGGGCTACAGAGAGACCCTATTCAAAAAGACCAAAAAAAAAAAAAAAAAAAAAAGTGAGATTAAGAGAGAAACTTCATGCTTAACCTCTGAACCGATTAGAAAAAATGTATTTGTGTGAGAATGCACTAGCATAATCAAAAAGTAGGTACTTCCAAAGATTAGAGGCTAGTCAGTCCTGTTCAGGGAACTCCTGCAGCCAGCTTCTCAAACTCTGAGGCACCCAAATCACTTGAGGAACATGTTGAAACTTCAATGCCTAGGCCTACTGAATGAAGGTCCTGGATCATGCCTTCCCTAGAATTTTGGCAGGAAGGGGACCTGTGGAAACATCTATTAAATAAAGCAGGCTCGGACCCACATAGTTTAGGGGTGCTAGGCAGCCCCAGGTCCAGAGCATGTTCCAGCTTGAGAGCTGTAGCACCACCAGGGACACATCAGCCATGCCCAGGCTGCTCTGCATCTGCTTCCTGCCCACACCTACCATGGGGCTCCAGCCCCCCTCCCTGCACCCTGGGAAGGAGGTACTACCTGGCCCTTGCAGCAGGGTTCTCAGTGAACCCACAGGTACCATTACTCAGCCAAGGCCTGGTGGTCCTTCATACCTCCAAGCACACTTGGCTGCTTCCTTCATCTTGGCACTGTGCCCTCTCTGTGACTCCCCTCCTCCTGCCGGGACCCCAAAGCACTTTTAGCCTTAGCGCAATATACCAGCCACTCAGTGCTTTCTTACAAACCCATTCAAAATAGTGCTTTTCTCCTCAAATAAAGAATCTAAAAACAAGCCAGGTGTGGTGGTGCACGCCTTTAATCCCAGCAGAGGCAGGTAGATCTCTGTGAGTTCCAAGCCAGCCTTGTCTACATATCAAGTTCCAGGCCAGGGAGACCCTGCCTCAAAAAGACAGAAAAAAAAAAAAAATCTTAAAAGGTATGGTGCCTTGGCTAATTCTCTGTTCTGAACAAATAGGGCTCCATCCCCATTCAATCAGAGCAGCCCCCTTCTGTCTTCTGTCTCTGTCATTTTGAATTACAGGTTTCTTACCTTTAAAAAAAAAAGACAGATGTGGGGGTTAGGGAGATGTCTCAGCAGTTAAGAGCACAGATTGCTCTTTCAAATGACCTAAAATAGGTTCCCAGCACCCACATGGCAGCTAACAACTGTCCACAACTCCAGTCAGGGATACGATGCCCTCTTCTGACCTCCACAGACACTGCATGCATGTAGTACACTTACATACATGTAGGTGAAACACCCATAATATAAAATAAAAATAAATTAACTAAAAAAAAAAAATTAAAACCCTGTGTGGTGGCACATGCCTTTAATTCCAGCACTCAGGAGACAGAGGCAGGCAGACCTCTGTGAGTTCCAGTACAGCCAGGGCTACATAGTGAGACCCTGTCTCAAAAAGGCAAAACAAACCAACAACAACAAAAAGACAGATATGGCTCAGACCTATAATCCTAGTATTCAGGAGGCTGAGGTAGAGACACGAGGTCAAGACCAGTCCAAGCTACATAGCAACTTCCAGGAAAGCCTGAGCTATATAGTAAGATCCTGTCTGAGGGAGGGGGAAAAAAGCTGGAGACAAAACTCAGTTGGAGGGGGATTCCCTTAGCATAAGCAATACCCCAGGCTCAGTATCTCAAAAACAAACAAAATGTTTTAGAATTTTCATTCAAACTCATCCTGTCTGAAAGAGAATGAAAACAGAGCTCCTACTCTAATTCAGAGTCATTTACTTTTCACTCATCACCTATCATCTTAGTGTGTGCCAGGCACAGTGGTAAGTACACTGTGGAAGGCAGATACCACACTAAGACTCAATTCCTTCCCTGAAGAGAGTACAGCCTAGTGGAAGCAGGGTAAGGACCTGGACCATGGGGAGAGATAAGGCATCAAAGGTCTGGTAGAAGTAGTAGCCTATCTGCCCCACCTTTGACCCTTTTCCACAGCTATTAGAGTGATAAGTTGTTGGGGACCCCTGCTGTGTAAAGTAGCAGTCTCTCCATGTCCGGATAGCCCACGGGGCTCGGCGTTCATATGCAGAAACTCCTTTTATCAGCAGGGCGCCTTCCCACTCTCTTCCTGACTCATCTTTGAAGTAGCCGTCACAGAAACATGGCCTCTGGCTCTGAAACTGCCAGGTTTTCCTGTGTGATAATCAGGCAATGTCTGGCAGCCTG